AAGCCTCCGGAGGTGACAAGGGGGCCGTGGGCTTCAGGAGGCAGAGACAGGTACAAAAGGCACCACAGACTGCGCGGAGAAGCACCGGCTAACCCCAGTGCTCAGGAGGCTGAGGCAGGAGGATCACTTTGAGTTTGAGGCCAGCCTGGGCCACGTAGCAAGACACTGTCTTTAAAAAAATATGAACAGGAAAAAGTAAATGTCGAAAGAGAAGAGAAGCCGGGGGTGTAGCTCTGTCGTAGAGGGTGTGTTTAGCGTGTAAGGAGCTCCGAGAGAAAGAGAGAGAGAGACGGAGAGACAGAGAGACAGAGAGACTGACGCACTGCAGGAAGAACAAATGGCCAAGGAACACAGGGCAGACGCCGTCCTCACAGAAAGGCGCCACCACAGCATGGCTGCGTGCCGCCTCCGTCTGATTCCTGTGTGTTGATTGACTCTTAGCAGGTCCGGCTAAGCTGGGCTCACCCTGGACTCACTCCCCAGTGCTCCTCAGGGTCCGGCCTAGCTGCCTGATTTACACAGCCCCCGCCCGTGACACCTGTGGCCCAGCAGTGCCAGCTGCCACGGCGACCTGCGCCTCCTGGTCGTCCTCAGCCTGTCACTGGAACTTGAGCGAGAACCTCAACACGAACTTAGAAAGAAAAACACAACAGCCGTGCTTGTGTGCGTGCGTGCGTGCGTGTGTGTGTGTGTGTGTGTGTGTGTGTGTATGAGAGAGACTCAGGATTGAACCCAGGGCCTCTGCATCCTTAGCCATTTGTAATTTTTTAAAAGCTTTTTTTTTCCAGGCACAGTGGTGCACACCTGTAATCCCAGCAATCGGGAGGCTGAGGCAGGATTGCTGCTTACTTGAGTTCCTAGTCTGTACTACATAGTGAGACCCTGTGCCCAAGACAAAACAAAACAAAATAAAACACATACAGACATGAAAGTGTGTCTCAAACATTATGAGACTTAGCTTAGTAAACGCTCTGAACAGAAGAGGTGTTTGTGTGCCTCGCCGGTGCATGCCGAGGTATGTTCTTCTGTTGAGTTTCATCTCTGGCCCTCAAATGGGATGATTTTAACAAAAAATTATCTTTTTCTTGAGACGGGATCTCACTGTGTAGTTCAGACTGACGCTGAACTCATCAGGCAGCCCAGGCTGGCCTCGAACCCGTGACAATCCTCCTGTCTCGGCCTCCCAAGTCCTGGGATTACAGCCGTGCACCAGCCACCACACCAACAAAAATAGAATCTGAATTAACCTCAGTTTTCTGCTATTTTGCACAGTCTGGTCCTGAACTCGTAAGCTCGAGCCATCCTCCTGTTTCTGCATCCTAAGTAGCTAGGACTACAAGCTAACGGACCATGCCTAGCTGATGTCTGATAAGACTTAATACGTGGGACACTGATAACAACCATTTCGACCGGCACCCCAGCCAATAAACCTAGGATACCGGGTGGGATGGCGCACGCCTGTAATCCCAGCACGCAGGAGGCTGAGGCAGGAGGAGTGTTGCGAGTTTGAGGCTAGCCTGGACTACAAAGTGGGCTCAAGGCCAGCCTGAACTGCAGAGCGAAGCACTGTCTAAAAAAGACCAAAAAAGAAAAAACAAGAACAATAAACCTAGGAGATCCTGGCCCACCATGCTGGACAGGGAGGCAGGAAGCCTGAGGCAGCCTGAGCGGCTCAGGGCTGCGTATGTGTCTCTGAAGAGAGCTTTGCCTGGATCCCACCTGCAGGGCTGCAGAAAACAAAGCAACCCCAAAGCCCTTGTTCTGTCAGCAAATTTTATTCCCTTCCTGAACGCCATCGTTGTGGACCGGGGACATTTCGCTTTTCCCCAATCCCGAGCAGCTTGGAATAGAGAGGAGTTCAGTTAACAAGTAGCCTTTGCTCCTACTGCGAAACTTAAAAATAATAGTGAAAGGTTTTAGCCAGGCATGGTGGTGTTCACCTGTAATTCAGCACTTGGGAGGCTGAGCAGGAGGATCAGAAGTTGGAGCCCAGCCTGGGCAATTTAGACTCAAAAATAAATAAAAAGGGCTGGGGATGCAGCTCCGTCTCAAGCGATAGGTTCAATCTCCAGTACAAGACAGGAAAGAAGGAAAATGAGAGAGAAAGAAGGTGAAGAAAGAGAAGAAAATTATCGTACAACATTTTTCAAAAAGTTTTGGTGTGTGTGGGTGTGTGTGTGGGTGTGGTACTGGGGACTGAATCCAGGACCTTTGCACTGAGCTACATTACCAGCTAGTTTTGAATTCAATTTGCTCACTTTGTACCCCAGGCTGGCCTCAAACTTACAACAATCCTCCTGCCTCAGTCTCCCAAGTGTTTATTTTATTTTGAAACAGAGTCTCACTAAGTTACTAACTTGCCCAAGCTGGAGTCAAACTTGTGATCCTCCTGCCTCAGCCTTCTAAGTGCGGGAATTTTAGTCCATTGGAAGTAGGATGACCAGATTGATAAAAAAGGCTTTTAAAACCATAACTTTTAGCTGGGTGCAGTGGCTTACACCAGCATTTGGGAGGCTGAGGCAGGAAGATCTAAAGTTCAAGCCCAGTTTGAGCACTTTAGAGAGACCCTGCCCCAAAATAAGGTAGAAGGGCTGGGGTGTCCCCAGACACGTTTGTGGTGGCTTCAGGCCATGTGGCCACCAGAGCTCGTCTCCTCGTTACCCCTCTTAACTCTTTATTTTCTTTCTTAAAATTTATTTTTGCATCTTTTACAGTCATTTGTTTCACGCATGTCAATGTCCTGCCCACAGTTTCTTCAGGAATAATTTTGTTCTCAGAGCCCTGATCTTAGGATTTTAAAAAATATGTGTTATTTATTTATTTTTGGATTTTTTTGAGACAAGGCCTTGCTATGTACTCCAGGTTGGACTTGAACTCATGTTGCTCCTCCTGCCTCAGCCTCCCAAGTGCTAGATGACAGTTGTCTGCCACCACACTGGCCTTTTTTATATTTGGATATGTTGAGGAAATAGGAATTCCAGACGGCAAAGAGCAAGTCACTCCATACACAGAGAATTAATTCTACATACACCAATTCACAAATACAGAAGTCTGTTACTGAAAGAAGCCAGAACCTGAACGTCTGGAAACGACTGCGCCGGGGCAGGGTGGACGCTGCTTCCCCGGCCCTCGGCGTCCTTCGCAGCAGCGGGTGTGGGCCGGGAGGGCTGCGGCAGCGCCTGGCTCCTCCTGCACCTGAAGGCCCTGCGGAGCCCGCGCTGCAAAGCCTCCTCCTGGAAGCCTCAGCCGCGACAGCCATGGCTGTGCGGACTGCGGGGAGGCCTTCTCCCAGGGCAGACCCGCTGAGGCGCCGGAGGACTCACACCCGGGAGAGGCGGGGGCGCTCGGCCGGGAGCAGAACCCGCTCTGCGCTTGAACGCCCGCACCAGGTGCTATCTTGCCAGACCTGGGAGAGTTCATAGCAGATGAGCGCTCCAGGCGGGAGGAAAGCACATGTGAGCCCAACCTGGGCTACACAGCAAGAACCTGCTTCAAGAAAACAAGAAGAAAAGCCAGCGGGGAGGTGCACGCCAGTGTTCCCAGCACTCAGGAGGCTGAGGCAGGAGGATCTCCGCAAGTATGAGGCCAGCCTGGGCTGTATAGTGAAAGACTGCCTCAAAACAAACAAAAAGACGAAGAGGAACAAGAGGAGGAGGGGCAGGGGAGGCGGAGGGAAGCAGCCGCCGCCGCCCATGAACTTTAAAGACAGGGAAAGACTTACATGGATGGGGCAGCCTGGATCCTTGGCGAGTGTCTTTCATGCCGTTTTCATTATTTTTTGTTTATCTTTCTTATGTGGACTTCATCGAGTGGATCTTTTGATAATCTACAGCCTGGATAATTTGTACCGCTAAAGCTTTATTTACTTTGTTGGGAAGGAGCTTGAAACAGCATCTCACTATGTGGCCAAGTGATGGGGACCATCCTGACTCAGCCTCCTGAGGGCTGGGATTACAGGTGAGCGCCACCACGCCCAGCCAGAACATGGTTGTTAAACAAGGAATGTCTCTCCATACAACACACATACACATCCCGTTTGAACATGTGTATTCATACATACACAACTATACTGTATTTCCTTTTTTCCAACACATGTACTTTTTGTTTTGTTTTTTGAAACATGGTCTTGCTATGTAATTCAGGCTGGCTTTGAACTCATTATGTAGCCCAGGCCGGCCTCCAACTCGCGCCTTCTTCCTGCCTCAGCCTCCGTAGTGCTGGGATTACAGGCGTGCGCCACCACGCCCAGGCTACACGTGTAACTTTTAACAGAGGTAGTAGTTCCTACAAGAGCACTTTGCACCCTTTGTGGCAATCCTTCCTGAACATGGTCAAGTATTTTTATTTCTTTTACAGCAGTGCATTTTGGGCTTTGAAATTTTTTAATAACTGATCTCTTTACGCTCAAGACAGCTCCACACAAAGGGAACAAGACTTCCCACACGGGACCCTCCCTTTCCGCTGACTCTGGCCCACGGCCGCCCAACCCGAGCTTCCGCTTCCAGAACGCTTAGTGCCCCGCCCACTTTGCCTCCCACGCAGCTCCGGCAACGGGTTCGCCTGCGTAGTGATGTCAGGCAATGACGTCATGACGCATGCGCACCAGGTGACTGAGTGGGGAACGCGGAAGCTGCTGGCCTAAAGCAGAAGGGGTGGAAACCGAAGTACACCGTGTAGGGCTTTAGGAAGCCATCCCGGGCTCACCCTGTTCATCTGCTGAATTTAAAAAAAGCTTTTAAAAATGTGTATTAATACATTTGCTGTGATAAATCATCTACTGAGTCATGAGCGAGGTTGGCTGTGGGTCAGGTAGGCTGCGCCAGGACTGATGCCAGGCGTTAGTAATCAGTCGTTCTTTGGGTAAGGAGAGAGAAAAAAAGAGGCAGGAAAGGGATTTAAAAGGCTTAGGTGCTGGGCATGGTGGCGCACGCCTATAATCCCAGCACTCGGGAGGCTGAGGCAGGAGGATCTTCGTGAGTTCGAGGCCAGCGTGGGCTACAAAGTGAGCTCAAGGCCAGCCTCTGCATAGCGAGACCCGGTCTCAAAAAAAAATGCTTAGGCCTTCAAGCGGGTTTCACTCATTCACCCTGAGCCCTACAGGAAAGTTAAAACAATGACAAGGACGACGTCAAGTCTTCAAAAATCAACCGCTTTCTCAGCAGGACTTGCGTGAGGATGCCTGCGGGGTCTTATGGGAAACGCAATCTTTGCGGGCCTGGGCTGGAGCTCGCCCTGCGCATGCGTACTTTCGCGTTGCCCCTCCACCCGGCTCCTTGGCTGGCGTCCAGGGCTTGCGCCTGGGTCCAGGGACTGGCACCCAGGGGTGTGCCAGACTCGGTGGCCAGCCTCCGCCCCCCAGGGCTCGCAGCGCCCGATCCCTGCGCTGGTGGCCTCCTGTAAAGCAGGGGAACGTTAGAACCAGTGCAGAGCGTTATTAAGTGAATGCATGTTTGTGAATCACCTAGAAGCCCCAGCGGGGATCCCCAGGCCCCAAGGAAGACACCATCTCTGTACCTGCGGGCTCTGCACTGCCTGCTGCGTGTCGGTCCGTGTCTTCTGGACCCTGAGTGGGTTGGCGTTGAGTAAAAACAGCCCCGTGAAAGTGTCCTCTTGTGCAGCGACAGTGTCCACTCTGCTTTCATGCTCCTCTCGCTTTGATCCCACATATGAATGGAAACGTGTGACACCTTTTTGATTCTGGCTTATTTCGCTTAACAGAAGATGAAGATCTAAAATGTGAAAAGAACTGAAAAAGTCACACCCAATCAATAAACGGGCAAATGAATTGAACAGAGACTTCAAAGAAGTACAAATGGCCAGTGTATGTTAAAAATAATACCTTTAGCTGCTCAGGAAGTGGGAGTCAAAACTACACTGAGATTCCATCTCACCCCAGTCAGAGGGGCTGTTGTCAAGAATACAAAAACCAGTAAACACTGCTGAGATCAGGGGTACAAAGGAGCCCTTCTACGCTGCTGGGGGGTGTAATTGAGCACGGCCACTGTGGAACTCGGTGTGAGGCTCCTCAGGAAACTAGAAACAGAACTGCGATATGATCCAGCTGTACCACGCCCTTCACACATACCTGAAGGAATTAAGGTCTGCACGGGACAGGGATTCTGCATGCGTGTGTTTATTGTGGCACAATTCACAATAGCCAAGATATGGAACCAGTCCAGATGCCCCTCAACGGAGGGGTGGATAAAAAATGTAGTGGCCACACCTATAATGCCAGCACTCTGGAGGCTGAGGCAGGAGGATTTTGGAGAGTTTGAGGCCAGCCTGGGCTACATAGTGAGACCTTGCTTCATTCCAAACAAAACAACTCCCCCCAAAAAAAACCAATCCCCCCAAAAAACAGCAAGAAAAAACCTCCTCTTCCCAATGGGTAGGCTGAGTCAGGTACCCCGTAGGGCTCTGACTCCTGTCAGTTCCAAAGTGTGGATGCTAACGTAATCTCGGGACCTTTTTTTTTTGGAAACAGAGTCTCACTGTAGAGTTCTGGCTGACCTGAGCTATGCAGTGAGTTCAAGGCCAGCCTGAACTGCACAGCGAGACCCGTACAGCAAACTGTACGTGGTGTGGCCTGCTGTTCCTCGGGCCATGATGAACCAAACAACACAAGACTGAATCAGGCACCAGTCAGGAGACGTAAACACACCGTGTGAGGCTGCTGCCGGCGTATCGCCGTGCTGTTCTCCAGTACACGTCTTTTTATAAGTAGGAAGAACACACACCAGCAGAACTACAGAATGTGTGGTAAGCCGCAACAGTTCTTGCTGCCGCGAGTGAGTGTCTGCCCCGGACAGAAGCACGTGCTGTTCCCGTGCGCAGCGGCTTTCCCACGCTGGCTTCACCGTTACCGCTTGCCCGCCGGACACCCCTGGCAGTAACACGGCCGTGATGTCGCTAGGAACACGGTGGTTCTGTTATAATCTCGTGTGACCGACCACGGTTGCAAATCCAGTCTGTCATTAACCAAATTGTCATCACCCAGGCCCTAAAATGGCTTTCGCAGAGCGCCCGCCGTTTGTGGGTGGGGTGCCGCTCGTTGGGAGAGCAGGTGCAGTGCCCCGGGTTCCATCCCCAGCGCTGCAGAGAATGCCAGCCGTGGTCAGTGTTGGGTGGCAGAGTAAAATATACTTGAAAATCTCTAGAAGGTTGTAAGTGTCCTCATCACCAAAAAGCATGTGAGATAACGCATTCGAGGCAAAAACAAAAAAGCGAACACCGAAAAATTGTACTTTAGCGCTAGGCTTGCCCCATCTAGTGGCCATAAGAAGCAACTACCACAGAAATTCTGGAAGTTTCAGGGACAGGCGGACACACCGTGTAAGACAACAAAATGATGGAGACAGTCATTTGTGAGTTCAAGATTGCAGTTAGAGCCGGGCGCGGTGGCGCAAGCCTGTGATCCCAGCACTCGGGAGGCTGAGGCAGGAGGATCGTTGCAAGTTCGAGACCAGCCTGGGCTACAAAGTGAGCTCAAGGCCGGCCTGAACTGCATAGCGAGACCCTGTCTCAAAAAGACAAAAAAAAAAAAAAAATGCAGTTAGCCTGGTGTGGTGGCGCACGCCGGCAATCCCCACTCTGTGGGAGGCTGAAGCGGGAGGACCACAGGTTCGAGGCTGCATAGAGAGAGCCTGTCTCAAAACAAAACAAGAGTGCAGAGTGACTGCTCCCCTTAAACTTGGATGACATTAAGGACTTAGAGAAGGGGGCTTTTTAACTTGCTCTCCTGTGTGGGGGACTTCAGTGTTTCTCTGCCGGGGGAGAAGTCTTTCTCATCCAGCGCAGACTCCTCCCGGGGCTCCTAAGAGGGGCGGGCCGGCAGTCTGTTCTCACCAGCTCCTGCGCGGGGCTCGGGTTTGACTCCACTGACTGAGTAGGGCTTCTCAAGGACAGGGGACCGGGAATCCAGTCACCCAGAACGCCAGGGGCCTTTATTCTTCAACGGGACACTCGGTGTTCCTGGGTGCTGTGGCCCCCAGCCCACTGGTCTCGGGAAAGGGAATAAAAGTAACATTTTAAGACCTACCCTCACTGGGCTAGGACCCTAACTAAGGCGCATTCCCAGGGGCCACGTCACGTCCCAAGTATCCAGACGAGGAGCTCTGGGGCCCAACGATCCTGGGACGAAGCTGTCCCCAGACCTTGCACAAATAACGGACGTCATGGTCTTTCCTCACCTTGCTGACATTCCAAAGACTCCAGTGAGCCTTTATGTGCCGGAGACGTCGGCGCAGCCTGGCGGAAATCACACCGCAGAATGTGAGCCGCAACGGCGTGGACGCGTCCCCGCTCTGCCCCCGCTGCTCGCCCCTCCCACGGTCTCACGTTTTGTGATAAACTCTGCTCGCTGCCAGGATGCCTTGCTGCGTCCCGACTGCATTCCTCCATCAAGACGCGAGGAGCGAAGGAAGCCTGTCCCCCCAGCCCAGTAACGTCCACGCAGAGGAAGGTCGGCAGCGCTCTCCACAGAGGCCACTGGGAAGGGGCCGTGGTGCCTGCCCTGACCCGCGGCTGCGCTGGGGAGAACCCACAGCAGCCCCGGACACTGGGTCCCGGGCGGGGCGGGGCGCTGAGCCCGTAAAACTTTCTCACGGAAGCTGAGAAGCGAATTGCGTTAACTTCCACATCTCGTGAAATAGCATTTAAAGATTTTCCAACCTTTCGAACGCTTAAAAACCATTCTTAGCTCGAGAGCCCCAGAGCAAGGCTTGGTCCACGCTGAGGCTTGTCTCACACCACCCCTGGCTTCCAGGAAGGGCCACGCTAGTGCTAGGGTAGGAGAAACAAAACTTCGAGCAAACTTCTGGTGGGGAACCCAGAACTGGTTTCCTCTAGCTTGGGGGAAGGACTTGACACTGTCCCCTTACACCGGAGACCCCCAACGCCAAAGCCTGAGGCCTGGAAAGAGTTACACCCAGAGCTACTTTCTTTGGTACCATGACACTGGGAAAGCATAAACAAACCATCTTCCCAGATATAAAATCCAGAATATTTCACTTCAAAGAATCCAGATTCCCATGATTTCTGGTGACCCCAGGGTCATCATGGCCCCGTGACTGCCACAGCAGAGCTGCAGACTGGAAGCCCCTTCCCAGCAGGGTCCCCATAATCCCAGCACTCAGGAGGCTGAGGCAGGAAGATCTCCAGGAGTTTGAGTACAGCCTGGGCTACATAGCAAGAACTTTTCTCAAAAACCCATAAGAATGTTTAAAGTTTATTGTGACTATAGTTGCTCACATACCAGAAGGTCTTAAGCTGAATGTGGTAAGACACAGCTCAGACTGGGCATGGGGCCAGCCTCCCATCTCAGTACTTCGGGAAGCAGACATAGGCGGAATGCAAGTTGGAGCCCAGCCCAGACAATTTATCAAGATCTTGAAATAAAAACTAAAAAACTAAAAAATGTAAAAACACACATAAAGGAAACTGTGATAGGCAGACATGGTGGCACAAGACTGTAATTTCAGCACTCAGGAGGCTGAGGCAGGAGCATCGTCCAAGTTCAAGGCCAGCCAGGGTTACACAGTGAGTTCAAGCCCAGGCAAGGCCCTGTGTCAAGCCAACCCAAACCACCCCGCCAAAAAATAAAGAAAAGAAGAGAAGAGAAAAGAAAAAACTGTGGGGGCAGTGCAGGAAGAACTTATTGGTGGCGGTAGAGACCAATGGCTCAAATTTAAAACAGAAGGCCTGCAAACTTTTTATTGCTCACCCGAGATTCTCCTTCAGCTGGGTGGATGTCCGGCGTCTTCCTGTAGGAAGGGCTGAGGGGCTGCATTCTGCGGCTCGGATGTGCGTCCTGGGGCCAGCAGCTCGCAGGGAGCAGGCAGGAGCTGGCCTGTGAGTCTGGGGTGAGCGGGACAGGGCCGTCCGAGCAGACAGAGCGGGGGTGTTGCCCCCGGGGCTGTGTGACTGAGGCGTCACTGCCGGGTGGTCCCGGCTTTCCAGGACTCCGGCTCCTCATCTGTGAAATGGACCTCAGACTTTGAGTCATAGGCTCCGGGGTCTGAGAGGGTGTAGATAAGGCTCTTATCACACATCAGGCACAGAAGCCAAACAGTGATAAAAGTTCGCATCTCCCTGATTATCCCCGCTCCGCTGCAGACACAGCCGACGTCTGGGCGGCAGATCCGCGGTGCTGCTAACCCGAAGGCAGTGCACAGCGCAAAGCTAAATCTATAACTTAATTCAAAGTGCGGTTACAAACTGTCATCAAGCGTGAATGTGTAGCTGTCATTTCACTATGTTACACAAATGTGCACACCTATGGGCATGCATTCTTATGTTTAATATATTGCTGGAGACCACTACAAAGTGGCTCTGAGCAGGATTTAATATTAACCAATTGGCTTTCCATGTTTACTTGTGAGTTGTCCGAAGCTCAGGCACCTTGTCTGAAGGTGGGCAGTGGGCTCATAGTAAGTGAACCTCTGTGAGTCCCTGGTCACCACTGAGGCCTCGATTGGCCTGTGAAGCTGTGACACCTCAAAGGACAAGACAAGGCCACAGCTGAGGATGTCTGGCTCCAGCCCCAATTAACTACAATGAGATTGCAGCTACAGGCATCTCATTCCTGCCGTGAAGGCCTTCCTGGAGATAACACAGTTCTCCTAAATTAACATAGTGTATTACTTGGAAAAGTCCTGCCCAGATTCCCAAGTTTTCTTGAGTATCCTCCTGCTTTGTTTATAAACCAAATAAACACCGGCTGCCCAGAGAAGTCCTGGTCTAAACTCAGAGACTATCAAAGCTGTAAGAGAGTTGGTCCCTCCTGGAGCCCTGAAATCATCTCCACTGTCTCATTTATTTAAGCCTTCGCGGTCCACTCACTTGGGAGATTGCGGGCCTGATCAGCCCACAGTAACGAAGGGTTATTTACCCCGATAATATATATAAGTCACAAACATAGCATGTAATTCATTGTATGATTTAATTAAGACCTAATGTAACTTATACTTGCATATCATGCAGAGAGAAG